CCAAGGTAAAGGAGCATAGCCTTAGCGTAATGGGCTGATATGTCGGTGGTATCTTGGGGTGTCGATCTTGGGACTGGACATGTGGAGCACTTGGACTAAGTGCAAAGGATGAGTGGCATAGATGCCATTCTCGGGACAAGCAGGTCCCATGTCCTGAGTTGGACTTATGGAGGTTGTGAGTGAGACTCCTCCAAGTGGTCAGAGGTGTGGTTAAGTGACTAAAGTAGAATGGAAAATTTAGTCACTTACATACATCTTTGAAATGGGCTTGTTGTAATGGAAAAGCACTTTTGTGTTACTTGTTGTTTATTTATGACTTGGGGGACCAAGGCACGTGCAGGGGAGAAGCAGTAGTACAGGATGTACTTGACGAGTTTTCTGATGTTTTTCCATTTGAACTTCCTCATGGGTTGCCTCCATTACGAGGTGTGGAGCATGGGATTATATTGGAGCCAGGGATGCAGCCAATTTACCGGCATTCATTTTGGTTAAGTTATGCGGAGGAGCAAGAAGTTCAACAACAAGTCAAGGAGTTACTTGAGTTTGGATTTATTTAGCCAAGTAAGTCTCTGTTTAGTGCTCCGGCCTTGCTTGTGAAGAAGAAGGACAGTTTAATGTGGATGTGTATTGACTACTGTGCCTTGAACAAGAAGACAGTGAAGGATAAGATGCCGATGGCACATGTGGATGATATTTTAGATAAGCTTGGTGAAGCATGAGTGTTTACCAAGATTGATCTAAGGAGTGGATATCATCAGATTGCAATGGATGATGCATTTATCTCCAATACGGCATTCAACACAAGCTTTGGACATTTTGAGTTTACAGTTATGCCATTTGGTTTGACGAATGCACTAGCCACATTTACTCGGTTGATGACGGAGGTATTTAGGCATTATCTTTATGAGTTTGTGGAGATTTTCTTGGATGAGATTCTTGTTTTTAGCAAGAATATGGGGAGCATAAGGTGCATTTGCGCAAAGTTCTTTTATTACTTTGAGATAGCAAACTTTATGCCAAGAAGAGAAAATGTGAGTTTGCAAAGTTAGAGGTGGAATATTTAGGCCATATTGTGACATCTAAGGGTGTCAAGACAGATCCAAGGAAGGTGGCTGTGGTGGAAAACTAGCCTACACCGACTACAGTGGCCGAGTTGTATAGTTTTCTTGGTATGGTTAGTTACTACTAACGTTTCTAGCATAAGTTTGTAGAGGTGGCTATGTTTGCGATGCCTTTGACATGGTTATTACGCAAGAATGTGTCATTCGAGTGGAAGAAGTCACAAGAGGAGAGTTTTGTGGCACTGAAACGATTGTCGAGCAAAACTCCAGTGCTTCACATTGTTGATCCATCAAAACCTTATGAGGTGATATGCGATGCAAGTGGTTATGCACTGGGAGGAGTTCTCATGCAAGAGGGACAACCTATTGCATATGAGAGTCAAACTTTGAATTTCATGGAGCAACACTATTCCACATATAAGTAAGAGTTACTCTCTATTGTTCATGCTTTGCGGACGTGACAGCATTATCTTTATGGTGCAGTGTTTGTGGTGTTGACAGATTACAAACCACTTGTGTATCTTTTCACATAGAAGGAGTTGAACACTAGGCAAGCTCGTTGGATGGTCAAACTCATGGAGTTTAGGGAGTTTCCTATTGAGTATCATCCGGGAAAATCAAATATGATGGCAGATGCTTTATCTCGTGTTCGTCATGTGACAATGTTACAAACACAATTTTATCATCATTTGAGTAAGGTGGTCAGTGAGTTTGGGTAGTTTGTTGAGCATGCTTAAGCTCAAGATGTTAAGGTGGCCTCTTTGCAAGACCAGATGGAAGCCCCTTTCTCATTGGTGGATAGGATTCTCTACTACAATGACTATGTATATTTGCCACAGGTGGATGTGTTAATTACTCAAGTTTTATCCCACTATCATGATCATCTAGAAGCCAGTCATTTTAGGGGGAAAAAGACGTATGAGTTGATTAAGCACAATTTTTATTGGAGGAATATGAAAGGTAATATCCTCAAGTATTGTAAATCATGCGAGCTCTGTTAGCAGGTTAAGGTGCCATAGGAAAAGCTAAGGGGACTTTTGCAACCTTTACCTATTCCTAAGAGTTGTTGGTGTAGTATCTCTATGGACTTCATTACTTGTTTACCATGAACATTGAGGCAAAAGGAGCAAGTATGGGTTATAGTGGATTGGTTGACGAAGTATGTGCAGTTGTTGGCTCTTTAGAAGATTGTTATTGCCTCAGACTTGGCTATGGTTTACTTGGAGAAGGTTTTTCTTGATTTTGGTTTGCCAGAGAATATCATTAATGATTGAGATTCAAAGTTCACTAGTGGATTTTGGAAGAGCTTTGCAAAGGATATGCAAGTGACTTTGAAACTCTCGAGTAGAGATCATTCTCAGACAGATGGGCAAACCAAGCGTGTGAATCAGGTGGTGAAGGATATGCTACGTTGTAGCATTGGTCAAAGGCAAGGATAGTGGGATCTATATCTTCCATTAGTGCAATTTGCTTACAACAATAGCCAATACTGTGGAACCAAGCTAAATCCTTATTTTGCCATATTTGAAAGGCATCCTTGAATAGCGGTGGAGTTGAGATTGCATTTAAGTAAGGACATTCAAGATAAGCTTGATTCCGAAGCAACTGATCTGGCTACAGAACTTGATGAGATTCTAGTGGTGTGCAAATAGAATTTGCAGGCAACTCAGGATAGAGCAGAGAAGTTTGCTAATGAGCATCGCCAATTCTGGGAATATAAGGTGGGGGATCTCGTCTTCGTGCAAGTGATCTTTCCGTCAAGTGAGCGGCAAAACACCTTGGTGCCTTTACAGACAAGGAAGAGTGATAAACTTTCCCATCGATATGCTGGTCTATATAAAGTACTAGAGCGTATTGGTAAAGCGGCTTATCAGGTGTGGCTACTAGTTGGGGTGAAAATTCATCTGGAATTTTATGTTAGCCAATTGAAAGGTGTACTATCTCAGAGTGACGGCCCAATGCCTCCTTGATGTATACGACTGTGGAAGATAGACCTGAGCAGGTTCCCTAGAAAGGGTGATCACCAGTATAACTTGTCATTGGAACAAGGACTTTGTTAGGGGGAAGAATTGTTAGGTGCTAGCTTTGACCACATGGTCAACGTTTGTCAAAAGGACACTCAAGGGTATATTAAGGCATGTTAGGGTAAGGGACTTAACCTACTTTGTGGAGCGGCAATGCGGTTAAGTAGTGAGGGACCTCAAGAGGTGGCATAGCATAATCTAGGGCAATTAGATCTTTGTCTTTTTGCGCCAGATTATAACAAGAGAATGGGGCTGTCAGAAGAGTTATGACTTTAAGCTTCTGTTGACGAGGGTGTGAACTTGTAAGAAAACATGATAAATTGTAAGCAACCAAAGGGAACAATTCGAGAGACAATCCGTAATAGTTTAAATATAGAACGAAATGGCTTAGGAATAAAAATGTACCCTTTTTTTTAATTGATTAAGGGTCTTGGGATATTTAGGGTTAAACATCTTTGGATTTGAATAATACTAAGCTTTAGTGACTTCCCGGGAAATCCAAATTTAAGAGTTTACACTTATATGGAAAAATAATAATGTATTTTTCTCAAACTATATAGTATTTACAATTTTAAAAATAAAAGATACCAGACAATTAATAGTAACATTTTATGAAAATGGTTTTAAGAAAATATTTTGGAGGAATAATTTTAACTATAATCTTAATTAAAATAATGCTATTTTAATTTCTTATTTTTATATAAAAATAATAAAAGCCAATGTATTTTACATTATTAATAACAAGCATATTCATTGAAAGTCGATTGTCCTCACCTGCCTCTCCTTGGATCAAACTCCATTTTCAATGACAGTTAGTCATTTTATAAAGATTCACTCTTCTTCTTGTGGCCCAATCCTCTACGTGCCACTAGTTCCAAGCAGCCACTCCAGCGTTGCAATGTTCTAGCTCTGCACGACGAGGAAGGGGATCACACGAGCACTGTCCAAGGTAGGCGACAATCACAGCCCCTCCACCCTCTTCTGGGTGATGCCTGTTGAGGCTAAGAGAACAATCAAGACCACCAATCGTATTGCTAGATCTATATCCTTGGAACGATATGGTTATTTACAATTCGTATAAGCTCCTAGATTATATGTACACCTGTGACATTAAAATTTTACGATGCAAAAGCTTATTACTTATCATTAGCAAGATCATCGTCAAGAGCGTCCTGCCCGACTTGGACCTCACCACACACCCCGTCTTCTTCCGGAAACGCATCCAAATGAACCGTGGCTCCACTCTTTCGCTGCTGGGGCAGGCTCTTGTAGTTGAAGACTTTCTCTAGAACGTCCTTGAGGGTCGAGCAAAGAATAAGCTCCATTCCGTCCACCTTGACTCCTTTAGCACCCTGTGGGACGATGCATTTCTTGAAACCCAGCTTGGATGCCTCAAACAGTCGCCTTTCGAGTTGAGCTACCTGCATGGACGGAACTTCCAGCATTGAAAAGTGAGAAACCACGTAAGAACTTACAAAGCGCAGCTCTCCCCCAAGTCCTAGCTCACCAACGAAGACTGTGTCCCGAGGAACCGGCCTTTCTATATAGCTGCAAGCAAGACGAAGCTCGTGAGTTGGTATGCCCAGCTAGTCGAGAGAAAGTACCTGCTGGCAATAGCGACGGCAACAGCAATATCTGTGGCGGGCTCTTCCAAACGAAAGCCTCCAACGACATTAACAAAAATATCCTAGAGCAGTATTTCAGCATAACTTTTGCTATCACAAAGTATAGAACGCACCTGTCTTGCAAGTCTCAAGCGCGCTTGTTTGAGTAAGACCTGGCATCACAGCGTCAAGCCTCACAAAAGTGGAGAATATTTATGGAGTGACTTACGGCAACAATCAGATTGAATCGAGATGGATCCACTCCAGTGAACGTTCTTTTACTTGGCAGTGAAGTGGCAGGAGATCATAAGACCTGCAAAACGCGCGTTCATGCCGGAGAAAACTTTAGCTTTTGATCGTTGTCAGATACGCTTCTCGGTTTTAAAGTCAGATCATGGCAAGTCAGAGAAACTGTTCTTGGCAGTCCAGCTCACTCGAAACTCGGGAAATTCCAAAGAATCTACCACCGGTCTCTCGTTGAACCTGGAAAGCTAGAGCAGCCAGACAACGCTCAGATTTGGCTAAAAGTATCATCATCCAACGTAAATCCTAGAAGTCGCTTACCTGGATTTCAACCAGCAGCGGCCGAGATCCTTCCAAAGCCACCCCAACGGTGGCTGATGCATTAGTGTCCTCCCCAGTTCTATCAGAAAGAAACTTCAAACTGGGATTTTCTACCGCTCGTAAACCGTTGTCGACCATCTCAAACACGCCGACCTGTACTAAAGATAAAACAGCGAGATTCAATTTAAAAGCAAGTGCTGGAAGACAGTCACCTCTTTCGTAGAAGCGAAGCGATTTTTTAGTGATCTTAGAAGCCGTTGAGACAAAAGACGGTCTCCCTAGAGACAAGAAATATATGGCAACCTCAAACGAACAAAGATAAAAACCTCTTACCTCCGAGTGAAGACAAACATCAACCATGTGCTCCAATGTACGTGGCCCCGCTATTTCTCCAGATTTCGTTACATGCCCAATCTTTATATTGCCGAACATCTAATGCAAGAAAGAAAGAGAGCTTACCACCAGTGAAGATATCGACAGCCGTAGAGTAGACGAATTGAAGTCACAGTTTGCTCCAGGAGTAAGAACTGTTATCCCGGAGGGAAGGTTTACAGTCCAAGGAGGAGTTTTCAGGCTCTGAAAGGAAAGAGATTAGTGAGACCAAAACTTTCACCATATGCTTACATCCAGGTTGAAAACATGCACAATGGGAAGACCATTTTGTCGTCTGTATAAGATCAAATGCTTCGCAAAAATATCCATATCCTCTATCCAATTTTCGCTCTCGACTGGGACAACCTCCTAAAGTGTTTCAGTATTTGCTGTGAAAAAAACGAGAATTGACTTACCTCCCACGCCTTCGAGGTCAAGCTATCTGTCTTGCAGCGGACAAGCCGATAGTTGTTTCCTAGCGACGCTAGCTTCTTGTCGCCCAAAAAATTGGTAAGAATATACAGGTGCTCTTCATGGTGTTCCACGAAATACTGGATGCCATCAACTCTATCTGCAACTTTCCACAATGTTGTGGCTGAAGTTTTCGGATCTACCAGAAAAATCTGTCCTGTAGAGGCTCGAGCAACACATTTGTGAAACGCAATTACCTCAGAGGACGTCTTTGAGTTGACATTAATCAAAACGTACTGCCAGTTTTTGGTTCTTGTAACATCAACAAAGTTCTTTGGATTGTCGTCGTGATAAATTGCAATGTCATCATCTTTAGATCGCAAGTTCCACAACAAAACCCTGTCGAGATCGAGAAAAAATGATTCTAGAAGAAACTTCAACTAGAAACCTGTGAGGTCGCTGTGCCACATCACTACAAGTGTAGTAAAGATATTCTCCAGTATCAGACCACTGCACACTTACTACACCATCGGTTTTGTGCTCCAGGAGGAGGCTATCAGTTTCCAAGTCTTTGATAAACAATGTGAACATCTCGTTGCCACCCAAGTCGATCGTGTATGCTAACAGTTTGTGGTCTCTGGATAGCTTAAAAACTCCAAGCTGCGCATGGCCTACACTTGTGTAATTAGGAAGAAGAGAGAAACAAGGAAAGATCCTCAAAACTTTACCGTGCTCGGCAGCAAGCTCATTGATGTCGATCATAACTTCACTGTTCTTGTCAAAAAAACTTGTAAAGAAAGCCTTCAGCCTTCCACCTTGGCGGGCTCTTCGTCTCGAGTAGATGGGAAACTGTTTCCCTTGCGGGATATGCACGAAATAGTACCTACATTGTTTCTAAGTTCCTCAGCTAGGCAAAAAAAAATCAAAACGAGCAAGGAAGAACTCACCAATCCCCCCAGCGCTCTGGAGGTGATGCGAGCTCCTTCTCCATCCTGCTCGCCATTTCCTGGCGGATCTGGCACTGGAGCTCCCTTGTCCCAGCCATGGTTGACATATGCAAAATACAAAGAGAAAAGCTAGTGGAAACGAAAAAAAGGCCTTAGACTAGCGTTGATTCAGATTGTGGAGAAATAGAACAAAGCTAACCTATATATACTATAGGTTAATGAAGCTCCACCACTCTTGGATCGAGAACGCCCTAAATATAGCTGAGGTCGAGGAGGTGCCATGTTATCATCAAGAATGTTGTTTAAGACTCGTACGGGAAATTAGAGAGTCAGGAATAGGGAAGTGTCTCAATAGTCAGGAATAGGGAACTATCTCAAGAGTCAAGAATATGGTCTGTGGGTTAGGAATCCAGTAAAAGTTAGGAATATGGCAAGAATTTAAATATAGCTGAGGTCGAGGAGGTGCCACGTCATCATCAAGAATGTTGTTCAAGACTCCGGAATCATATGGGAAATTAGAGAGTCAGGAATAGGGAAGTGTCTCAAGAGTCAAGAATGGGGAATTGTCTCAAGAGTTAAGAATATGGTCTGGGGGTTAGGAATCCGGTGAGAGTTAGGAATATGGCAAGAATTAGGGGATTCTTGACATCCTTGGGTTTGAATAGTATTGAGTTGGGTGGTTTCCTGGGAAGTTCAAACTCACAAGCTTACACGGAGTTGTATTTACAATTTTTTGGTCAAATAGTTTTACAAATGGCTTGATTATGTGTAGATTACATATTATCATAGAGAGCATTGTGATAAGAATGGGATTTCTTGTCATGGTCAACTTGATCCAACTAAAGGAAAGTCATTATTTTCTTAGAAGCTTGTAATGCTTTATTTCGTTAAAGTGGGACTTTTTATTATCCCCCTTATGGTGTGTGGCCACATGCCATTTTTATAACAACAATAAAAAATTGAAGTTTTAACTTTATAATTTATAAATTAAAAACTTTTCATATGATTTTGTGTTATAATATTGTGAAATATAAAAAAATAAATTAAAAAACTGATAGAAATATTAATAAATATTAATTAAGTACTAGGAAATGGCATGTGGACACATGCTAATTAATGTCCCACTTTACTGAATAAGTTCCACTTTAACGAAATAAAGCATTTTAGTAGATATTCGATATTGTATGATTCATATAATCTAGCATGATTTCACATCAAATCAAATTTGTAATGAGCATATACAAATTGTGGGAAGAAACAAATCAGCTTGTCGAGATGATTTTCCACGTATGCAAGATATTAATAATTTACATAAGAAGTATTTGCTTTCAACTTATCAACTACATGAGAATGATGCATAGAGTGTACATATTTGGAAAAACACAAATCCTAAGAAAGTATTTTTCTATCAGGAAGGTGGTTGAGATAAAAATTGTTTAACTTTTGAGATTCAGACAATTTGGGAACTACAAAAGATAGTGGACTTTGCAAATAATAATTTATTGATTCTTGATGCAACTTTTGGAATTAATTGCTACAAGGTAAAATTTTCATTTCTTTTTAAGTGAATAATATTTAATAATTTATAGTTCCCATTATACACCATATTTTTGGCTATCATGGAAATAGTATTCCAATTGCATATTGGGGCCTGAGTTTTAACTTCTAGTGAAAAAGGAGAATATATGAAGAATTGGACGATAGCTCTTAAAAAATTAATTTTAGAACACATGCCAGAATGGAAACCATATGTGATAATGATTAATAATTCTAAAGTATAGATTAATGCTATAAGGTAATTAATTTAAAATGATAGAATTTATTTTTTTCTTTTATATAGAGCTACATTCGATTGTCAAATTCTATTATATATTTGGTATGTAACAAGGAATTGGCTCAGATATATTATTCATAAAGTGAAATTTTATGATATTAGGATGGAAATATGGAAACGTCTTGGAGATATTATGTATCATTTAATTTATGTAGCTTTTGATGATGATAATATTATGTGAACTGAGATTAAATAACTTATTGAACATTTTGAGGTGGATTTTCAAAATGAAGTAGCTTTTATCAAGTATTTTTTCAAGATGAATGGAAGGACAAAGTTGGTTAGTGAATCAATATTTTGATTTTTATAATATATTTCTATTTATATTTAATAGATATGTGGGTTGTTGCTGCTTGAAATTTCCCTCATGCTAACAAGGAGATAAATAGTTTGATTAAGGCATTCCATGCAAATATGAAAGCTATACTCTCGTTTGAAAAAAAACATGCTCATAATCGAAGGATGGATTGGGCAATTCATCAATTTACTACTAAGGTTCATGCGAAGTATTGGTTTACTAGTTATTGCAAAGATCATGGTTTTATTTGAAATCATTCATACAAAAAGTTAATCAATGGTGCGATTGTTAAAGCAAGAAATATTAACAACTTTCAAATAAAATTCGATAAAAACAATACTCATAAATCCTATGTACAATCCTTTTTAGATCTAGTTATATGGCATTTTGTTGTTGGAGGTGAAGGACACAGTGATTGGGATTTTTTGACTTGGTGTAATTGTCCATGGGCAACCAAAGAAAACTTTTACAAGCATCAAGCAAAAGCTATTATATTAAAACAAGGAGAAAAAACCAATTGGATTGCAACTAGTTATGAGTTTCAACCATTACAATCACATGTAATTTTAGAACCTAGGTCAGATGAATTATTTTATCATTATCACTTGACTTGGAATTTATGACAAAGGTAATTCACTTATTAATTAAAAATTTGAAATACTTATAAAACTTTAAGCAGAAAAATATCTATCAAAATGTTTATCATGAGCAAAAAATTTCAATTGGAGACTACATAGAGGTAAACTAGCATATTTTATATACTAATATATATGAATATTGAGAAAAACAATATCCATCAAAATGTGTATCATCAACAAAAAATTTAGCTAAGGAGTACTATACAAGTAATTTACATTAAACAAATTTTAAATATTGATATGAACTTTGAGCAGGAAGATATCACTCCATCAAAAGTTATAAAAGTGACATTGCAGCAAAAGATGATTGATATTTTGCAAAATCTTCCTAATGAAGAAGCTTTTTTATCTATGGTTGACAACGATTTAGAAATGACACAACAGAAAGGTGCAACCTTTAAAGCTAGGCCATGCAATTTTATTTAATTTTCAGTAGAATTTTAATAGTGCATTAATAGTTATGGTACATTCTTGAAGCGGGCAAAACCTTTAGTGGAAAAAATTATAGATAAAAAAAAATCTTTTAGTAGTCCAGAAGCAATTCCTTTTACTAGGTAGAGGAAGATAAGAAAGAAAAGTTCTTTAAATGAAAAAATCAATCTTAATAAAGAATAAATAAAAAAACAAACTCTTTATGTACTTACATTGCATATATTTAAATTAGTTAGAAGATTTCATAGGATCACCACTCCTAATGGTCATCTATGACACTCATTGGCCACATAAAGCATGCAAAAAGGTGTCTACGTGCGTGCTAATTCAAATTTGGCCAAGTGTTGGGGGTTGTGTATAGTTTCATTTAATTTAGACAAATTCCAATCTAAATCATCTGCACAAAAACAATCCTTTTCATAGAATTCTTGCACCTCATCAAGCCATGGGGATCCTAAATGATTTTCTTGAATCAATATGAAGTTGAATTGATTGCTTACCTTTGGAAATTGATGTGCTGCCGCCATGCTTGATCATAAAAGAAACAGAAACGTTTTTAGGTCAATTATGGTGTGCTAATTGAAATTTGGCTAAGTGTTGGGGCTGTGGCCATGTGGAAGTAATTAGGGCGCACACTGGGTGCGGGCGGACATGCGGGGGCAGGAGCTGTGAGGGTGAGGAGGCGGGTGGGAGCTGCAGGCATGCAATAGCTGCGGGTGGGAGTGCATAGCAGCGACCAATGGGAGAAGGAGTGCGTTGGAGAAAAAAACAAAAAGAAGGCCTAATGCCATATCACCGCCAGGTAAGTGGAGAGAGAGTGAATGAGGATGGTGTTTAATGGCAGGCCGCCCTTCATCATGGTCTACAATTAGGGTTCTTTCAAGCAAAGCATGAAAGTTTGACTCTTTTAACCAATATTATCTGATCTGGAGGCCATTATCAAATGGAGGGGTGATTGAAACGGATTTCAACATGAAATATTGTCATTAAGCATTTGTTTTATTTTATAACTAAGTTAGAATTTTTGTAAAGAGATACAATTTTTGCTAATGGTTAAGTAAGCTCGAAGCATGTTTTGGCGAGACGGATTGGGTTTGGGCTACCACCACAAAGATGAGACGTCTCTTTCAAGGGTCTCGTCCTGCCTCAATCTATGCTGCAGAGTTCTAACTCCTTGCCTTGGACACTCAGTGGGATGAGCGGGCCCTGATTGATCAATTTCATTTCGGCCTCAACAATGGAGTCAAGGATTTGTTGCTCACCATGGAGGATCCCACAGACCTGTCGGATGCCATCAACAAAGTTGTTCGATGCGACAATCATCTCTTTGAATGTCGTTAGGAAAGTCGCCGCACCGCCGTTTTCCCGTCCTAGACTCAGGAATCCCAGCTTGAGTCTTCGGGGCATACTCCTGAACCTACTACTCCGGTCCTAATGGATATCTCTGGTACTCCCCGACTCATTAGAGGGAAGTTGAGTCCTGCTGAGAAGCAACGTTGAGTATCTCATAATTTTTCCCTCTACTGTGCTGATCCTAATCACAAAGTAGCTATGTGTCCCCAGAAGCCTCCCCGACTGCTCGAGTTCACTCTACCTCAAGGTTCACCTTTGTTGTAATTGGGAAATGACCCTATCCAAACAGAGTAGGAGCTATTTGTTTGGACTCCCTGAATAAAAATCACTTTTCTTCTTTATCAAGCTCCTCACCACCTTTCATCAAAGCCACCACCAATTCCCACAACTTCCACATCCCATGTCTCCTTTCTTTCACTAGACAATCAGGACTCAAGGCTCTGGCGCTACTGGACTCAGGTGCAACTTCTTGCTTCATGGACACAGACTTTGCTACCCGACATCACGTTCCTCTTTCTCCTACTATACGGGATCTGAGGGTTG